TCGACACTTTTCTCTCAAATTACATTTTTTTTTTTCTCTTGCTATTATTGAAATAATTTAAACGTATTCCAGAGTTATACAGTATACAGTGAAATTTTGTGCAGAATATCAACAATCTGACGCCAACAACAGATTTGATTTTACTTGCTCATTACTGTTAATCTACAAGGGTTGCAACATATTGTTTTGAAAACTACGATGCATGTAAAAACTTTACTAGGTAGTATTAAAAACTTGTAGAACTTTATACAGTAGTATTACATCGTATATTAGTGTGGTGACAGCTCAGTGAAGCCGTCTATGAAAATGATTCAGTTGGTAAGGCAGTAACTATGATAGAGCGTTTAAAAATCTGCTACTTTTAGTAACATTTTTATAAAACAATAATTGCAGCAAAAAATGATGCCAGCAACTTAAAGAGTTTGTTTTTATTTTATTTACGAAAATGTCTGTTCAATTTGCGAAATAATTTTTTTAGAAAAAAGTGTAATTCTTCCTCAGAGCAACTCTTGTAATTTCGTATCGGTGATCGGTTTTAGGAAACAGCGAACTATGAATGCTTATTATGGAAATCTATAGTGTCGTAAAATGTATTGAACGGTAGCGAAATGAAAGTTGAACGAGAATGAGTTAACAGAGTGAAAAAAAATGTTTATCAACTAAATTCGAAATAAATTTGATCTATTTGCAATAATGCGGTTACATTATCTTTTTTTTGCCAAAAAAAATTTGTTTTTATCAGCAAAAAAAATTAAATTACTATCTTTATTGAGTTAATTTGCTTAAAATTTACTGCTCTAGTTCTCAGAAACTTAATAAAACAAAGTTTAACGTTCTGCTTTGTGCAACTTGACAATGAACAGGTAGGTCAGCGAAAACAGTGATACGAGTAACTCGTGTTATGAATATGTTCAGCATTGGCTAGAAAATCAAATCTATCAAAAAATAGCTTCATTTTAGTGTACGTCTGCTGTATCTAATAAATTATGTTTTCAATCTAAATTTGTTCACTCACAAACATTGACACGTAGTATGATAAATGAAAAGCACTACAAAAATAGCTTTAACAGCTATCAGTAAAAAAGTTGAACACACCTGGAACCGTGTTCATGAAAGAACGAAACAGAAAAAAATTGTTGCGTTCTTGAGACCAGTTTATAGTGTTTGTTCAAACTGTATACTTCAATTATGATTTTTGACTAATATTACTTATTTTACAAGTTGGGTTGCACCGAGGGAAAAAATAAAATTATGCGAACTTTCGAAATAACCTGCATTACTTTTGCAAAAACAAAGCACAACAATATTTTTAAAGCTTTAATCAATATTGGTTTTTACATAGTCGGGGCAAAGAAACGATTTTAGGAGCTTGAATAACAGCAGACTGTTTAGTACTGAAATGTTCAGTAGTGCAAGTGTTGAAAAACCCTTGTTCAAAGCTAAGGTGGTTACGTTGTCGGAACAGATATTTTGTATGATAAATGTCAAGAAACTAATGATTTGTCGAGAACTGTGTTTGACTTTGTGATTAGATTTGTAATAAAGTGGTGCCTATGAACAATTTGCAGCAAAAAGCAGATGAGCAATAATGGAGTGGGCTGAGCCGGTGATCGAAACCGGGACCTCTCGCACCCGAAGCGAGAATTATGCCACTAGACCACTCAGCCGCTGCACTTAGCATCCCTGGACGCGTACACAAATTACATAACGTGCAGTATCCGCATGAAAGAGACTGAAGAAGGTGTTAAAAACGGTCGCTATAAACCACAACAATGCAATTCAATCCTTCCGTATTAAAACTGGCACTCGATATAATAGCTGTCTTAAATAAATTTTCTTAGCAAATCTACTTTTTTTTCTGGACAAAAGCATAGTAGACTTTTACCACTAAATATAAAAACTGTTCAGAGATAGCAGGAAATAAGCTTTTTAAAAACTTCAGCTTTTGCTAATTTTACCATGTGTTAAAAAGGAAAAAAAGTATAAAGTGTAATAATTCGTAATGTTATTTATATGATAAACTACACTGCTTCAGCCGCATAAATAATTCTTAGGTCACATTTCTATAAAATTTAGTAACTGCTTACTTAATTTATGCGTTTTCCAGATGACTTCATAAGAGGAAGGTAATTTGAAAAGTTACACAAATTTCCGCTTAAATGCCAAATTGAGGCAGTTACTCTTCAGTGTAGACAATCTTACAGTTCGCTTGCATATGCCGAACAATCATATACCGAACAATCGGAAAGTACTTAGAACTCAGTATTTGATTTTATGTTTCAAAATCAAAATTCAGCATAACAATACATAGCACTTGCTCGAGCTAAAAATGCTTTCCCTGTCTAAAATTTGGTTATTTTTTACGACTTAAGAGAAGTTTGAATTATAAAACATGTAATAAATTTGTACAACTAGATTGAACTTTTCAGTTTCAGGAAGAACAAAGTGTTTTAGTACCATCGAACAAAAGATCTTTCAAGCAGAAATCATTCAAATGTCTACAATTTGTACACGATAATTTTATTATATTTTCTTTATTATAGTTTTCAGAGTAAATATCTGGTAATAAACTGCTGCTTGAAATTCATTTTATTAGTATAATTCATAATCACAGCCAGGTGAGAATCGCAAAAGTGAGGAATTAAAAGAAGATAATGAAAAAACAGCTTTGCAAAAACTTTTGGAACATGTTTTGTATAAGTATCCCATTCTCACTTTTTTAATTCTAGATGCAGTTTTTGACAGTTTCTGTCTCTTTTTTTGTTTTTAAACTTTGTGAAAACGCTAAGATATGCAGATAGTCGCTTTTTTATAACTTTTTTCTTTGCTGTGCAATTAAAGCAACTATTTAATATGTTATTAAAGACTGCTGATTGCACAGTATTCAACAATGCGTAAATACAGGCTAGAAAAAAGCATGAATATTCTTTTTTTAAGTTATGGTAATTGAGATTTCAACTATGACAAAGAAACTTAAGCCAGTAGCAGTCGTTTCAAGAAAATTTTCCAAGAGTGTTCAGGAAAAATTTTTACAGCAAAAAAAAAGACTTTGAAAACAATTTGTGAAACATTACACATACCTCAAATGACAGTGTTAAAGAGAAAGACATAAAAATTATGTACTTTGACTAGGATTAAAAAAAAACCGGAGTTTTTAAGTCTGCTGCAGGTGTAAGATTTTTTTCATTGCCATATCAAAGCTCTTCGACCATCAGTATAGAAGGAAGAATCTTCTTTATAATACAGCTGGAATCATAAATTTTTAGGCGACAATAAAGACTCAACTGCTTTCTTGTTTTACTGATTCATTAGCGGTAAGTGTTGATAAATCAGTCAAAACTGGCTTTTGGAAGACGTCCTCTGAAAGCCGGTAGGTAGTCATTTCAAATTCTCACTCTTTGGCAACAACAGTGTTAAGCTATCATCTCTATCGCCATCATAGGTCTTCATACTATTTCTTTCACTTAAAACAATTTTAAAATGAATCATTTCTCCAAACGGCATTGCCATTATCGAATCTCATTTTTTACACACTATTTCGCCTTCATCAAATTTTTCCTAAATTAATGAAACATCTTTCTGATTCCTTTACTATTTCCTCATCTGAGCAACACCTTCTTAGGCTTTTTAATGTGCAACTCTGTTTTTAGTTGTGTTGAGGTGTAATATTCGACGGAATATTAACATTTCGCCACAAGTTTATTAGTGAGATACGCCATAAATTGTCTCCTTGCGAGAATGCAGACTGCAATATAAGAGGTTTCTGCTGAATGCGACATTACCGCTTTATCCCAGTAAGGTTTCAGTTATATGTTAGCTAAAGTACTTCACAGTTGGCAGCAAAACTACTCAACTGACAAATTATATGATCATTATTGCAGATGGCTTCATCATATTTTTCAGCTAACTCAAATGATTTATTTGGAAAAATACAGTTGTGGAATAACATAGAAATATACAATTTTGCACTAAGTGGCAAAAGAAAATTTAAAAAAAAAAAAAACTATAGTTCAGTATACAGTAGAATTGTATGCAACATAATGGCTGTAAATATTGCAAATATGAGTGGCTGCAGCAGCAATAAAGTTGTTATTCTAACAAAAGTTGTCGCAAAAAAAAGTTAACTATGATTTGACTAAAATACAGTACAGTTAGTAGAATTAATACTCATCGTCAACTGGATCTGCCGAATCTGTTCCCACTTCCTCGTAATCTTTTTCCAGTGCGGCGGTATCTTCACGTGCTTCAGAAAATTCGCCTTCTTCCATTCCTTCTCCCACGTACCTAAAAAATATAGATGAAATTTTTTGTCTGCCGCAGTGTTGAGTACTGCTGAACTGAGTTTCTGTACCATATAAAAAAGAGTTCAAAAAAATGCCACAAAATTACCTATGGGAATTTATTAATAACGTTTTCTCATAGAAAAAGAGCTGTAGCTTAAAACGTTCAACGTTTTTTTATTTTTTGAACAGAAGTAACTTTGGAAAGTTTCCTGTTAATAAAAAAAATTAATTTTAATTATTCTGTTATTACTGAATAAAATATCTATATTTAACAGTGGAAAGTCTGATTAGTCACTGTGGTCAGACTAATACTGATAACTCATGAAATTTTAAGAATGATCGGTGTTTAATGTCAGTTCTTTTAGACACTAACCAATGCACAAATGCGCGTTTGGCATACATCAAGTCGAACTTATGATCAAGTCTCGCCCAGGCTTCAGCGATTGCTGTTGTATTTGATAGCATGCAAACGGCCCGTTGCAATTTTGCAAGATCGCCTCCCGGTACCACAGTCGGTGGCTGATAATTTATACCAACCTTGAAGCCAGTTGGGCACCTAAATTTTGAAATTTTAATTATGTTCAGTGATTCCTGAGGAATAGACAGTAGTCATTTACAGCTGCATCTTAGCAGTAATAGTTTTACTTTAAAAATCTGTTAATGCATAAAGTTGGTGAACGCTTTCATCAACTTAAAGGTAGTTTGTAAAATGAAACAGAATTATTTTGGACAAAGAAAAATTTTATTTTTTAACTTTAATCTGTTTATTTTTTGATTTTTTTTCTTCGTAATTGCTTAAATTATCATAGAATTTTTTTGGCTTAACTAAAAACAAACAAATATAGCAAAATAAACAGACCAGTCGACAAACTGTATTGTTCGTTTAGTTTTGATTGCAGCAATGGCTGAATTAACATCCTACAAAAGCAAAAAAACGTATTTTTTTTCACCGTTTTCGAGTAATAATCGTTGGAAAAATTGCTTGATTGATGGAGGGTTTACTAGCAAAAATGGTTCAGTAATAATAATAACAATAATAATAATAATAACCTTTGGAACAACATCGCCTCTATAAAGCAAACAACATGCCATATATTTGCCGTTTCTTGGGTCGCATTTAACCATCTGACTGCCAGGTTCGAAACACTGATTGGTAATTTCAGATACAGAAAGCTGTTCATGATGAGCTTTTTCTCTGAAATTTATATACAGATTGTTGTTGAAACTGTCTGTTCTCATATGACAAAAGCAATCAAAAAACAGTCCAAACAATTTTAATAAGCTTGCAGATAAATAAAACTGTAACAGGAAAATTTCTCCGAAATCAACTGTTTAGTTTACTTTATTCAAACCCTTTGGGTTGTAGCACACTCTATAACTGCCGACTTTTAGAAAACTATGGCGACTTTTTTTTGTGTAACGATTTGTTTACGTCTAAGTTGAAGATAAATCACAAAACTAACGAAGAAATTATTGGAGCATATGTGGCAAGTGGGAAGTGAATTCGCGGATATGGCACTAAATTCGTCTGGAATTCTGTCAAATCTACGTTTAATGCTCCGTCAAAACGAAGTGATGCTGTTATTGAGCTTACAATTTGTGCTATAAGTCGGTTCAGATTTGTATAAGTGGGGCTGAAATAATTTTGGTAACAATTTTCTTAAAAGGAAAAAAAGAGTAAAAAAACAACCAGAAAATTATTCAAAATTAGACAATTTTATCACCGATAATATGAGTAACCTTTTTATATCAAGATTCTTTCTGCAAATCTCATAAATAGCTTCATTATCAACCATAAATGCACAATCCGAATGTTCTAGCGTGGTATGGGTGGTAAGGATTGAATTATACGGTTCGACCATTGCTGCAAAGATACAAAAAATAAAACAGTGAAAAAAATTTTTCCAAGTTTTTAGAATCCGCTTAAGACATACCGATTAACTGTTAATAAAAATAACAGCAGATAAAAATATTACCTGTACTAATTTGTGGAGCCGGATATATGCTAAACTGTAGTTTTGCCTTCTTCCCGTAATCGACAGACAGTCTTTCCATCATTAGCGATGCGAAACCACTGCCCGTACCACCACCAAATGAATGAAATATCAGAAATCCTTGCAAACCTTGGCATCGCTCGGTTATTCCTGAAACAGTAAAAGCATTGATTTTGCAGGAAATGGTTGAGCCACGTGATGGAAGTCTTATCGCTCTATGTTTTTTCCAAATCATGTTCCTCAAAAAATGTTAAGGGAAAAAAACTGTTTTTTTATTCCAAAGATTCTGTTACTTTTTGGTGTATAACGACAAAAAGATTAGTTAACATTTCTCGTAAGACACAAATTTCCTTTTTTTGCAAAATTTGCTGGTTGCGAAATCTTCAAAAAAAAAAGCAAGAAGTCAGCATCAGCAGTTAAAACAGTCTCAGTTTACTACAAGTCGCCTAATTTTTCAATATATTTATCACAGCTTAGTTTTCAATAAAACAGTACTTCGAATTCTATCCATACAAACGTCGATGACCTCCTTTCCTATTGTATAGTGGCCTCTTGCATAGTTGTTTGCAGCATCTTCTTTACCGGAAATTAGTTGTTCCGGATGAAATAAATTCCTGTAGGTTCCTGAGCGTACCTCATCTAAAATCGTCGTAATTAGCCAAAAGATAATTTTTTTGGCTGGAAAGAATTCCTACAAAACTTTATTTACCAACAACTGTAGGTTCCAGGTCGACAAAAACTGCTCTTGGAACATGTTTGCCTGAAAAGAAACAGCTCATTAACCAATGAGACATCTACTTGATTTTTCATAAAATAATAAAAAAAAAATGCTCAAAATAAAAATTTTCCTGTTGTCACAACCAAGCTGTGTTTACATTTTAGAATTTGACAACGAATGCTTTATTATACCTGATGGCGTTTCGGAGAAAAAGGCATTGAATGAAGAACTTTCAATACCATAACTTTCGTCAGCAGGCATCATGCCATCAGGTTGTATTCCATGTTCCAGACAGTACAGTTCCCAACAAGCATTCCCAATTTGAACACCAGCTTGTCCGACATGGACGCTGACAACTTCACGCTAAACCAGCTTTTACTTATTTACAGTTAATATTTGATTAGTACTTACTGTCTGCAATCTATAATAATCAGTTTTCTAGAAAGTTATTTAAAAAATGGCAACAGAAATGGTTGAATCAAAATTTTTTAAAATTCCTTCTTATTTCCTTCATCTTCGCTCAAAAAAACCTGAATTGTACTCTGCGAAAAAAGAAGTAGCTACTTTCTACTAGTTTCTCCTTTTTGTGGCTTATCTTTCGTTATTTTTTTATATTTGTAAGAACACATTTGTACACTTTGAACGTCTCAAGTATAATGGTCAGCAGTATTTTCACAAGTTAACCTCTGTTTTTCATTGGTTATATATGATTTTATAAAAATAACGACACATATATAAACAACTTTTCCTTTAGGAGAGAGAAGTTTTTTGATTGTTTTTTTAATTACTTAAAAAAATATTTTTTGTAAATTGTCATTGTTTGAAAAGTGATAAGAAAGAAGGAAACACGAAAAAGTTACCATTTTTCCAGACGACATATTTGCAGAATACAACAAAAAAAAAATCGCAGTTTTTGCAAAAAGCGTCAAGATTGATTTAACGGAAATGTTCAATTATACGGCATTATCAGTTGGACGGCCTGTCGTCATGGGAACAATAAAACAATCCAAAAAAATTAGAATTATTAGTGCTAACCACTGGGATCAAACGTCGTTTGAAGCTGTAAACCTATAAAGGTTTCAAAAAGAAAAAACTTTATTTTTCAGAATCTATAAAACAGGGCAGTTTATCGTGAAGTTTATTTGAATTTTTTTACCGCTTATTTAGCATCTGTATACGTTGGAGTTATTACTTGTTTTCACTTTTCACTTTTTTCCCTCTTATTACTTGTCGTTTACACATTTAAAAAAGATGATAAAATGTATAAAAAACAATTTTTTTTTTGCTTTTAACCAACTTAATCTTAAAAACGTTAAAAAACCACTCTTAAAAGACATTTTCCTGCAAAGATGTTTCTAAAAGTGCTTTTTTTTATGACTTACACTGTGCACATGAAATCATTTAATATTGGAACAGTATGAATAATAAAATATTTTGCAGTTTGGTTTTGTTTTTTTCCTCTCCACTTTTATTTTTTCCTTCTTCCAAAAATATTAAAAAAATTATCACAGAAAACAAGTATTTTAAGTAGGAACATTCCTCTCAAACAGCCAATTCCATATACGTATAACTCTTGGCAAAATAAAAAAAGTTATATCCTACAATGTAACAGAATGAAATCAAAGTAGCAATAAAAAAAGCCGAAATTTTCTAAAAGCAGTGAAAAAATGTTTGAAAAAATTTTGTGCTGAAACATTAGTAACTAAATCATTCAGTGAAAAAAGTTTCAACATTTTAACGATTAATAGTGTTTATAAACTTTTTTTCAAAAAAGTAAACCTTGCAGTTATAAGCTAAACTAAATACGTAACTGAATTATAGCTTAAACTAAATCACAAAACGATTGTTGAACTCAATTTCAAATAACCTGATGCAGATCCGCAATCTGCAAAAACCAGAAGAAAGTTGCTAATAATTGTTTATATGCCGTTAACATCTGAAATAAGTGTCTCCTCCAGTTTCGAAGCATTTTGAGCTATGTATTAGTAACATAAATTTTCAGTATTTCAAGCGCATTTTGCCTGTATACCAATCTTCGAAATTATATTTGAACTTTTGAACAGGTTATCGTAATTATTTCAGGAAATTATCTGACATTCAAACAAAACTGATCTTCGCTGTTTATTAACGATAGAATTGAATTTGCTCAACAATTACGTCAGTGATATCAGATCAAAAAAAAAAAAAAAAATAGTGGTATCAGTAATTAAATTTGATGTAAATATTACTGGATGTCGGCAAATGTTTAGTGTTTGTTGCATAGTAAAGTTGATTTGATCACTGTTTGATGACAGAATGATGTTGATGCAGGAGAACAGCGTAAATAGCAGATGAGTCGTAAATTTAAGCTCTGCAGCAGCATCAAGTAGGAATCGTTTTTTTTAAACAAAAACCATAATTAACGACACATTCACTCTTTTTTTTCATACATTTTTTACAAAAAAAAGTAAGAAAAATAACACAAACATACATTTATCAATTTTTTTCTTATCAATGCATTATCACATTACAGTGCATTTGGAAAACATAATTTAAGCGGAAAAAAAACTTTCAATGTTTTATACTTTCTTTTTCTTTTTGGCTTAATTGCTCAAACTTGATCAAAAAGAAAAATCTGGAAATTGTTAACAGTAGGAATTCATTGAGTATATTACACTTTAAAAAACCGAAAGAATAATAATTAAAACGCTAATAACAAAAAAAAATTGCACCATTACTGTAAAATTACTACCGTTACTGTTAGCGTAACTATTTGGAACAAATATTACTGCTATTAGTATTGTAAACATTATTAGTACTATCATCAGCTATCAGTGCTAACACCTATAAACATCAAATATGTATTGGAAAAAAAAAAGAGAATACAATGAACAGAATACAAAGCGGTTATGTCTCATAATTTTGCACCTCAACATTCTCGCAGTTCAGTTTACCGATCGTTGTCTCTGTTTGCAGTCGTTGCGCGCGTTTTACGGGACATACCAATTCAATATGTTTGTTCAAATAACTTTTCAATGCAAACAATTTTCCACATCCATTGCAACCATACCGTTTAATACCTGAAAAAGAACAGAAGTAGGCAAAAAAAATCTTTTTTTTTTTTCAAAACTGACTACAATAATTGTCAATTTAAAAATATCGCATTGTTCTTTTTTATTCATCTTTTTTATTCATCAATTGAGTGAAATTATAAAAATTAATAACGCTAAACGTTATAAATGTTTTTTTTTTTTCTAAAAATTCTTTTATCGCTTATAATCTTTTCAAGTTCCCTATGAAAAGAAGAATATAAACTGAAGAACTGAAACCATTCTAAAAATTTTTCCGTCAGCATATGTATACTTTTAGAAAAAAGAAAGAAGAGAAGAAGAAGCGGAAGAAGATGACGATGACGACGAAGAAGAAGAAAAGAAAGAAAAAAAATTATTATGATAGATTTCTGTTCATCTTTAGCGGAATACTGTAGCCAATGAGTAGCTTTAGATGATTAATTGGCCGTGTTTGTCAGTAATCCAACAGTGATGTTCCAACTAATCCACTTGGATTAAACATTACCGCTTTTCTTTCTTTCTTTCTCTTTTTTTTTCGTTGAACTAAGGGTTTTATCCAATTCTAATACAATGTATGGTAGTTGACAACTGAAAAACCCCAACGACAACAACATAACGATAACAGCGGCAACAGCAATCAAAAAACCACCATCACCAAAAACAACAACGACAACGTTGACAACCCAAATCTTTGGTTTTTGTTTATCAAAAAATATTTCTTTTTGTTTTTTATTTCTCTTTCGCTGAATTATTTAAGAATAGAAGAAAAAAATTATAGTTTTAGCTTCTTTTTTTTTTAGATTTAGTATTAAAAACTAAAGTAATTTGTTTAATTAATTAGAGTAGAAAAGTGAATATGACAATAGCAGAAGCCAAAGCTACCAGTCAGAATAATCAGAACTTTTCTTCACTTCAGCGAACCATCTTCAGTAGTAATTGTCAGCGAAAACAAATCTTTTGTGCGAATTAGCCGAAAAAAAACTTTTTTGTTTATTAATAATAATAATATTATATATGGGCTGTTTATAAATGGCTATTTTACACTAGTCTTTGTCTATTCGTTTTGCTCATTATTGTGCTAAGTAGGCTTCCAAAAAAAGAAAGCAAACTTTTTTTTTCAGCAGACAATTAAAAAAAACCGATACTACAAAAATTTGTGAAAATGTTTGTCATTGATAGTCGTAGAGTATAATTAAGCAAAAAAAGCCTCATTTAGTTTTGGTATTTACTTTTTCTGCGCTGTTAGTAATTCTTAACAAAATATCAATAAGTTCAGTTGTTGAGTAATTGAAATACGAGTACCTGATTATTAGGTTAAAATTTACTCACAATCAGTCCAAGTTAATTAGTTCGAGTAAATGTTAATTTTAAATAAGATAAGATCAAAAAAAAAAAATGAAAAAGAGAAAGAAATGGAAAAGAAGAGATTTATTTTATTTTTTCTTGTCATTTTACCAGAATGTGTGTGCATGTGAGCCCTCAGATTGCTACGATCCGCAAAGGCCTTCCCGCAGTGCGCACAACCAAATGGTTTTTGGCCGGTATGCGCTCGCATATGGCCCTGCAGAAGCCAAGGCCGAGAGAAGTTCTTTCCGCATATCGAACACTTATGAATCGCTTTATGTGTCAGCAAATGCATACTAAAAACATGTCGATTTGTTGGAAAGATAAAAGCAGGAAAAAAATTTAATGGACAATATGCTTTTGAGAAAACTCTTATGAAATAAGGGCAAAAAAAAATGAACAAAACAAAACAAAAAAAAAAAAAATAAAAAAATTTGATACTCTTAGATTCATCAAATTTTTTACTGCAAAAAAAAATTTATTATCAGCACATATTTGTCCTACAAATGTTTTTTTTTTTTTTTTTTTTTTTTTTTTTTTTT